TTTTTTGCTTTTGTTTCTATTGCCTGGGTAGACTGCCCTAGGAGAACATTGCTAAGATTTATGTCGGAGAATGTTTTGCCTACAGTTTATTCTAGGAGATTTATGGTGTCCAGTCTTACGTTTGAGTTTTTCAGCCATTTTGAGTTTATTTTTCTGTATGGTGTGGGTGTGTTCTACCATCACTGATTTACATGCAGCTGTCCAGCTTTCCCAACACCACTTGTCAAAGAGACTTTCTTTCTCCATTGCATATTCTTGCCTCCTTTGTCAAAGATTAATTGACTGCAGGTGGGCCAGTTTATTTCTGGGCTCTATTCTGTCCCATTGATCCATGTGACTGTTTTTGTACCACTGTTTTTTGATTACTATAGATTTGTAGTATTGGCTGACATCTGGGATGATTATGTCTCCAGTTTTGTTCTTCAGTATTGCTTTGGCAGTTCTGGGTCTTTTGTTATTCCATATAAATTTTAGGATTATTTGTTCTAATTTTGTGAAAAATGTCCTGGGTGTATTAATAGGGATTGCATTAAATCTGTAGATTGCTTTGGGTAGTATAGCCATTTTAACAATATTAATTTCTTCTAATCCAAAAGCATGGGATATCTTTCCATTTCTTATTTCCATTATCAGTGTTTTATAGCTCTCAGCATGTAAGTCTTTCACCTCCTTGGTCAGATTTATTCATAAATTTTTTTTGATGTGATTTTAAAAGTGATTGTTTAATTTCCTTTTCTGATATTTGTTAGTGTAAAGAAATGCAGTAGATTTCTGTATGTTAGTCTTGTATCAGCTCTAGTAGTTTTTGCATGGAATCTTAAGGGTTCTCTATATATAGAATAATGTTATCTGTATACAGTGATAATTCTACTTCTTCCTTTCTAATTTGGATCCCTTTTCTTTTTCTTATCTGATTGCTATGGCTAGGACTGCTAATACTATGTTGAACAAATGGTGAGAGGTGGTGAGAATGGGCATCCTTGTCTTGTTCCAGATTTTAGGGGAAAGGCTTTCCACTTTTTACCATTAAGTATTTTGGCTGAGTTTGTCGTAATAGCTTTTATAATGTTGAGATATGTTCTCTCTACACCCATTTTGGTAATAGTTTATCATGAATGGATGTTGAATTTTATCAAATGATTTTTCTGCATCTGTTGAGATAATCATGTGGCTTTTGTCCTTTTGTGGATGTGGTGTATCACATTGATTGATTTGCCTATGTTGAACCATCCTTGTGTCCCTGGGATGAATCCAACTTGATCATAGTGTATGATCTTTTTTATGTGTTTTTTGATTTGATTTGCTCATGTTTTGTGGAGGTTTTTGTATCTGTATTCATTAAAGATATTGGCCTGTACTTTTCTTTTTTGGTAGCATCATTATCTGGTTTTGATATCAGGGTGATGGTGGCTTCATGGAATGAGTTTAGGAGTGTTCCCTCCTTTTCAATCTTTTGGAAGAGTTTGAGAAGGATTGATTGGTATAAGATCTTTTTATGTTCGGTAGAATGTCCCAATGAAGCCATCCCTGCCCTGGACTTTTGTTTGCAAGGAGTTTGTTTTTTTTTTTTTAATTATAGATTCTGTTTCACTTCTAGGGATCAGTCTGTTCAAATTATCTATTTCTTCTTGATTCAGCTTTGGTGGACCATATTTTATAGGCACTTGTCCATTTCTTCTAGGTTGTCCAATTTGTTGGCATATAATTGTTCATAGTGTTCTCTTATGGTGTTTTATATTTCTGTGGTGTTGGTTGTAGTTCCTCCTCTTTTGTTTTGTATTTTATTTGGGTCCTCTCTCTTTTCTTGGTGAACCTGGCCAGAGGTTTGTCGATTTTGTTTACTCTTTCAAAAAAGCCCAGCTCTTGGTTTGATTGATTTTTTTTAATCTGTCTTTTATTTCCTTTCTGATCTTTATTATTTCCTTCCTTCTGCTGGCTTTAGGTTTTGTTTGTTCTTCTTTTTCTAATTCTTTTAGATGGTAGGTTTGGTTGTTTAGTTGAGATTTTTCTTATTTTTTGAGAAAGGCCTGTATTTCTTTGAACCTCCCTCTTAGGACTACTTTTGCTACTTCTCAGATTTTATGTTGGTTGTTTTTACTGTCATTTGTCTCAAGGCGTCTTTAAATTTCCTTTTTGATTTCATCATTGACCCACTGGTATTTTAGTGGCATGTTGTTTAGTCTCCATGCAGTCATTTTGTTGTTGTTATTGTTTTTCTTGTTTCTCTTTCCGTGGTTGATTTCTAGTTTCATGCCATTGAGGTCAGAAATGATGCTTGAAATAATTTCTATCCTCTTAAATTTGTTGAGGCTTGTTTTATGTCCAAGTATGTGGTCTATCCTAGAGAATGTTCCATGTGCACTTGAATGTATATTATGGGTTTTTTGGATGTAACATTCTGAAGGCTCACGTTTTGGGATGGGGACTGCATGGATCCTCTGCAGTTTCTCTCCTTTCTGCCCATGCAAAGCGGCTGCTACACTCTCCTCTGAGCCTCTGAAGCTCCCTTTCTGTCCCAGCTGGGCTCCCTGCAGGTGAAGGGGCTTCCCAGGGTCAGGGAACTTTTCCTGTTTCTCTGCTCCTGGCCTGAGGTGCAGGTCTCATCTTGATATTTTTCCCCTCACTTTTGGTCCTACTTGGCTACCTGGAGGGTCGTCTTGTAGCTTTGCTTGTGTTAGATATTCCGCCAGAGTTCAGCAGGTGTTCTTTGAGAACTGTTCCTTAGGCAGATGTGTTTTTGATGTATTTGTGGGAGGAGAAGCACTCCTTGCCCTTGTATTCTGCCATCTTGAACCCCTTCCAACAAGTACCTTTTTAATTTAACTTGTATGTGGAATGAAGCCACCCTTTGTGCCACCTCTGCAAGCTCCACGTCCCAGTGTAGCTCCCTTGACACTTGTAATTGCTTATCAAATGTCTGACTGGCTCAGGAATATGTCATCACAACGTTGTTCATTTTGTACCTGCACACCCCCTAGGTTTCAGCGGCTCTCCTGGGCCTACTATTAAAGCACAGCCTCCTTAGCAAGGTGTCTGCTGACCCATCCAACCTGAAAGGTATGACCCTCCCCACAACACATCATCAGCCTTCACCCCAACTTCACGTTAATCTCACCTCTGAATTCACAGACATTACCCCATCAGCTGGTTTCCATTCCATCTCCAGTAATTGACTTTAGTCTTAAATGCTGGCAACTCACCTTTGTAGCTTTATCATTTTATACATGAGAGACGCTCAAGAAATGTGGAGTGAAATAAGAATTCATAGTGTAAAAGGAATTGGAACTACAGTTAATATCTGGATACTTCATGCAACGCACTAGGACCGTTACTGTAGCTGTAGATGTGCTTGGTTTCGCACAGAGTTTAAGAACGCTGACTCACGATCAAGAATCCTGGCATGTGACTTCTTAGGAAAACTGCCTCTCTGTACCTCAGTGTTTTCATTAAATTGTTGCCAGGATTTAATGACAATATACTTAAGTAAAATGCTTAGAGAAGAGTGACTGACACCTAGTCAGTGCTTGGTAAGTGGTAGATTCTTGAGTGAGGACATGGCTTGATTATGTGAATCCAAGTAGCAGCCACAGATTGACTCATCTGGACGGACCCCTGCTAGTTCAAACCTGCTTAGTATCTGTGCAGAGTTTCTAAATTTCACATTCTATTACAAATACTTAAAAACTGTTTTAGGTAAAAGGCCTTTCTAATTCACAAATGGGTAGTATTAAATATTCTATGTTTCACATGGATTTTGAAACATCCGCATAAATATTACTTAAACACATTCTCACTACAGCTTTGAGCCAAAAGGTGTGTGTCTGACAAGGGACTAGACAGAGGGAGGTGGACTGGCTTCCCAAGGAGTGTACACTGTGCTTCATCCAGAAAGGGTGCTGAGAAGGAGCATTTGTGCAAGAAGGTATGTGTAATAAAAGACAAAAGAGTGAAAAGACATGATGTGAAAACCACAAAGTTGTCTTTTCACTCTTCTAGTGACAACAACCAGTACTGAGTCATCAAAAGCTACTATTTTTATAAAGATTTCTGACTGAGGATAGAAATGGGGTAGGGTGGGAGGGAGACGTGGCCTCCACCCCCACTGAAGGACACCCACCAGCCGCTGCCTGCTCCCTGCTCCCCTGGGAGGGACTCACCTCACTGATGAGTTAAGGTAAGGAGCTGGCCTACATGTTCTGCTCCTTCTCCTGTGCCTCTTCGGGGGTGGGCCTGCCTCCCGAGAGCTCCACTGCCCTCGGCCGTGCGCTAGGCTTCGTGGCAAAGGCCCTGCCTTTGGAGGGGGGACCCAGGGATGCAGAGCTGCTGGCAGCTGGCAAGTCAAGTCAGTCGCATCCTGGGGTTCAGCGTTAGAAAGCCCACTTTCCAGATCCATAAGTAAGTCACATTCTCCAATACCCGTTCTATTACTAATAAGGGCATTTTGTCCATCGTGTGCCTTACTCTTTTGACTTCTTAGCTGGCTCAGAATTCAGAAAGGAAGAGGGATGCTCCTGAGTGGGTACACGCCCACCCAACAGGACAGAATCCTTTCCTACACTCAGCACTGTGAGTAACACCGGGAGCTCACACGGGAGATGTCTGAACATCAGCTGTACGTTCAGGTCTCCCCTCCTCCCTCTGTCTCAGACACAGAGTATCTGGGGTAGGGGTGGGGGTAGGAAGCTCAGTTTCTAAAACCCATTTAAGACTCTTCTTTAGCTGAATTTTTTTTCTTCGTTTAGTGAGTGACAACTGGCAAGACACAGTGGACCACCCAGGAAAAACAGTAAGTCTCTCTCCTCTTGAAAAATCTCTCACTGACAGGCTGGGAGTTGTTATGAAACTTCCCGCAAATGCAGCGATTCTAAACATCCTCAAAATGCTTAAGGCCTAAGATTTAAGGAAGGAGTTGGTCATCAGTCAGATGGTACATCTGCCCTGTTAATCTGCTAGGTGAAGAAAACACACCACCAGATTGAGAGCTTTTTAAAATATAATTTAAAACTATTTTGTACCAGTACAATATATTAATTTTACAAATGTAAAATTTTATCTGCTGTTAAAGCATTTGCAAAAACCACACAGCCTACTTCAGCTTTATTGCACAATATCTATAAGAAAATATTAATTTTTAAATTAGAAAACATAAAAATGCTTTCAATATAGAAGAGACAATCTGATTTTAAAGACAATACTCTATAAGAATGTCTACCCAGAAAATAACAAACTTTCACAGGATTACCAAGCTGGACAGATGCTTCGGGAGACCCAGTACAAAGCACTGTTTAAACCCAGTCCAAGATACTTAATCCAAACTGTATCACCATTCTTCATTAGAAATCTAGATGCCACTCAAGGTGGTTTCTTATACTTAAAAAAGTTGAGGCATTTCTCAGTGTGAGCATTCTGAACATCCCCTACGTACGAGAAACAATACTTCCAGCTTCAGTCATCTGCAGGGTTTTTTTCCTTCCTTCACGCAGATTATCTCTGGCAACTGTGTTTAATGACTATTAAATGATCATTTTAAGTCATTTATGCTGATAGAAAACATCAAGTTAAATACACTTTTAAAACCTAGTCCTTTACAAAAATCAGTTTATAAATTTGTATCATAAAAATTAGTGTCGAGACCATCAAGATGGCCTTCGTTTGTTTTATACGAGTTGGTTCTCTTCCAGAGCTGGGATGACAGACGTCCCACTTTTCAATGTAGTGTTAATCAGGAAATAAATCCAAGCACTAAGCTGGAACCCCAAGTCAGGTTAATAAGGCTGTATGATGGATTTTTGTGGGATATCACCCTGGGTCTAGATACCAATGGAGGTGTTAAAATACTGACAGCAAATATGGGTGGTAATCTGATTGACCTCAGACAATGAACGTAATCTGGAGGTGCAGAAGGAAAAGGTTCATAAATACGTCATCAGTGGGGTTGTATAGCACAGAAAAGGGAAAATCCTTATTAGAACAAGGATTCACTAAATTTGATACATATATATAGATGATACATTTTTTCCTGTTAAAGCATGTTGATTCAGTCTCAAGTGTTTTCAAATGTATGCTTTTGTGGCCCGGGAAATTGCCTTTGGGAACTTATGGCCTGCATAAGCAAAGTCAAATATAATATTCCACATTTGTGTAGAGGAAATAATTATTAAAATAGTGGTTATGCACTCACAAGCTTGTTGCAGGTAGATAGAATTATCAAAAACCCAGATGCTTATAAAAAAGTTTGCATTTAGAATTTTTTCCTTAGGAATCAAAGCAGTTGCTTTTCTGGAACTGTATTTTTCAGAACTGCTCAAAGCACCTCATCTAGATGAGTGTTTAAAAATATATATAAAAAGTCTACCATGAGACTTCGAACATCACATACTTCACTTTCTGCGGGCTTTTTATCATGTATCCCTTCCTTAAAGTCCTTCAGAATAAAATAAAAATAAACTCTCACATTTTGTTAGAGAAAAATGGAAACATTCACGGTCTGAAAATTTTCTGCATTCCCCCAAATCTCGCGGTACTATGTGCAATTTCCTCATATACAAGTTTTGAGGAAACCCCTGATCATCTATGATGGAATATTTCAGCTAATGGACATGCCATAGACAATTTACATTAATAGTAGTAAATAGATTAAAATCTATTCCATAAAATAAAAATGTTCTATGACTCCAATTTAAATACATATCTGAAAGGCTAAGAGGAGGCTTTTTTGTTTGTCATTTGAAAAGTGCTAATTATTACATTTACAAGTATCTTCAACACATTACGTCCAATTCTTTGTAAAACTAAACCATGCTTTAGGCACACTGCTTGATGAGTTTCTAAGAAGCAGAGGGGGAAAAATATCACTTGTCAATTAATCCAGCTTCCTTAATCTTACTGAAGAAGAATTTCTCCAGGATGTTGGCACATTTGTAGTATTCACTCTCAGGGGGGTTGTACTCTTTGCAGTTGGTGAAGACTCGCTGTAAGTCTGCCATGAATAACTTCTTAGACACGTAGTACCTGTTCTTGAGGCGTTCGCTCATGGTTTTCAGATCTGCACAGGAAAAAACAAAAATATTAGCCATCTTTGACTCCCTTTGAACACCAGCTGACCAACGATGGGGGCGTGGGGGCAGAGGTGGGAAGAGGAGGAGCCATCACTACTACTGCCGGGCTGACATGGCTCATTTTTCACACCGTGGGAAATCCTGAATCCCACGTCACCCTTCCCTTTGGAATTCAACCGCATGTTCTGCATAATGGCAAACTGGTTCAAATTTGGGGCTTTTCAATTGAGCCAATTAATCATCTGTTTTAGCATGGTGCAGACTTAGCAGCAAATTCCACAGTTCTCCCCTTTTGAGGTTCCCCCAAGCCCAGGCTGTCTGCATGTAGGGCTGGTGGTGCGGGGCTTGGCAGGACAGGGGCAGGCCGTCTCTGTGAACACGGCCACCCCCCGCTCCTTTGTCAGCCTGCTCTGGTGCGCTGGCCCTCCGCAGGCACGTGGATCCCACTGCCCACCAGACGCGCCTTACCCTACCACAGGCGAGCACAAACCAACCTCGGCAACCGTTTGTCCCCCACACCGCCATCCAGAGAGCTTTAAATCTATACTTAGAAAAGGTTAATGGCATTACCCATGGGGAACCTTATAACTTCATAGTATCCCGGAGCTTCTGTTCTCTTCACAGGTTCCATGAAGGGCCAAGCGCTCTGATGGCTCTTGAGTAAAGAAAAAAGTAAGGTATCTAATCTGGAAATTCCACGTGGGAAATCACTGCAAAATACCTGCGTGAGGTGAAGGGAAAGCACACACCCACCTTCACCTGCTGGAGGATGCTCTTCAGGGTGCTGTAGAGCTGGTCAGGGTCTCTGGGCTCTTTACTTGAAAGGAAAAGAGGAAACAAGAAGGAGCAATGATTAGTTTTTTTACCCTGTGGCTGGGGGGATTCCCATCCAGCTCATTTTCACAGAAACAGATCTGGATCCATTCCAGAAATTTTTATGAAAACTGAAACCTAAGACGTGTTGTAATGGTGATTACAGTCAGTTTGCCTGTTTTCTCCAGTTCGCGGGGGGGGGGGGGGGGGCAAAAAAAAAACCCACTTCCGCTAATATTCTCTGGCCCAGGAACATACTTACCTTTTCTCTTTTCCACTCGGTTTCCAGCCTGTCTCTCCTATATATCAATGAAATTGAACAACGAATGAGAACTGCTTTCAGTCAAGAGAATAACACAGTTAATATTTATCAAAAATGCAATGAATTACAGCCATGACTCAAGGCAAGTCCATTTCTGAAAAGAGACTGAATGGAAGGAACTACATTTCATTTACTCCCTCACACAGCTAACAACAGGAAACGTTTCCAAGACTGACAACGCTGTGGTAGTGTTTTCTAAAGCAGGAACTCCAACCTTTCAGAGGAGAGCATAAAAAAACACACGTCTGGTATTGTGGGCATGGATATTTTTAAAACCCTAAGTCATATTTTTTGCTAATCACCATGTTGAAGCGTTAAGCTGTTATTTTAGGTTGGAAACCAACTCTGCCCTGGTTTCTATTTTATTTGGCGAAGACCCCGCTTATAATGCAAGATGGTTTAGTGTTGCAGAAAGAAGACATAGCCTGGAGTCCAACAGACCTGGACTTGATTTCTTGTTCTCTCCTTAAAAGCTAACTTACTCTAAATAAGTCATTTGACCTTTGCCTCTCAGTTTACCAATCTATTAAACAGAACTCTAAAATTGAGGTGATGTTGTTTCTTTTGCGATTCCTTTTGGGGTGGGTGGGTGTGTGTATGTGTGTAAAAATGGGGGAAGGTTAGAGCTCAGTGGTAGAGCGCGTGCTTAGCGTGCACGAGGTCTTGGGTTCAATCCCCAGCACTTCCATTGATAAATAAACCAAACTACCCCCCACCAAAAAAATAAAACCAAAAAAGCTTGTTTCAAACACATCTCACTTCAGTACCAAAAGGTTTTGCTTTTAAAAGAAGACGGGTACATACGAATTCCCGGGATGCTTTCTATTGGAATCTGCCGAACTCCGTCTTTAAAGCAGGAAAGCCCAGGGTAGACCTTCCGAATCTGGGCTTGTTTTCTTTCTATCAGCTTCTTGATGATCTGGAAAGCACAAGAGGAAAACGGGTTCAGTGGCAGAAGGCTGTGCCCAGTCAGTCCTCCTAAGGAGTCGTCTTCCCAACAACATAAAGTCTCTCAGAACAAAAAGGAAGGAAAAGGTGACTGCTATCTGGGAGGTAAGATGCAAAAGGCCACCCTACCGTGCACATTCCTTGTCCGTCACACAGCTGTTGCCGAACACTTGTCCCCTGCCACCCAGGAAAAGGCCGTATTGAGAGAACACACTGTCCCCAGGATCCACCGTCCTCTTCTGCATAAGCACCAGGTACCCTACCCTGCTCCCCGAGGAGCCCCACCCCGGCTGCAGGACACGGCCCAGCTGCCCAAGCACCATCAGGCCCCAGGACAGGAGCCACCCCTTACCCTGGAGGGGCGGAGCTCAGAGGGACCCCGAAGCCTGGGAGGGTGGCCTTACTAGTGATCACGGGTTTCAAGGGTCCAAGCCCCAAAAGGCAGCTCTATTAACAGATTCGCACCACTGCATATAAAACAGATAAGCAACAGGGACCTACTGTACAGCACTGGGGACTATGTTCAATTTTTTTGTAATGACCTATAATGGGAACGAATCTGAAAAAGTATATATATACACACACACACACACATACACACACATACATATAACTGAAGCACTCTGCTGTACCCCTGAAACTAACACAACATTGTAAATCAACTACACGTCAATAAAAATAAAAACAAAAACAAAAACGCAGCTCTAAAGAGCAACACAGCCATGGTGTGAGCTGCCAGGACCAGTGAGGGAATTTTGAGAGGTGACTGTTTTGAAAAATAATCCCTAATGTCCTGAGTTAACTGTTTCCAGAATGGTGCAGTTTTACCTAAAAGGGAAAGAAAAAAAAACACTCAGATGTCACCATCCTGAAATTAACCATCTCACAACTGAATTTTGGGAAAGAAAAAAAAAACAACAGTAGCAGTCATTCATTGACTTCATGAAGGAAAACAAAAAATGCCAGCTCGTAACTGCTTGATTTCAAACAGAAGGCTGGTAAAGGCTACCATATGAATACACAATCCTAACAACTAAACAAAGAACTGAATAAAATGAATAGGACCGGCAAAAGTATGCTCCTGGTAAATCTACCCAGGGCTGTCCAAATATAATGCAAACCACTCATGTAATTTTAAATTTTCCAGTAGCCTCTCCCTTTTTTTAAGAAGTTGATTTTAACAATATATTTGTATTTAATCCAATATATCCAAAATATTATCATTTCTGCATATAATCAATAGAAAAAATTATGAAATATTTCACATGCTTTTATTCATACTAGATCTTCAAAATTGGAATGTATTTTTTACACTTACGGTGCATCTCAATTTCGACTGGCCACATATCAAGCACTCAACAGCCACATATGGCTAGCGGCTGCCGCTTTATTTTTCTGCGTGTTTTTTGGTTTTGTTTTGTTTGTGGTTTTTTTGGGGGGGGCAGTAATTAGATGTTTTGCTTTTTTTTTAATGGAGGTACTGGGGAGTGAACCCAGGACCCTGTGCATACTAAGCACACAGTCTACCACTGAGCTGCACCCTCCCCCCAGCGGCTGCCACTTTGGACAGGACAGATCTCGAAGGGTGATTTGCATTTATTTGAAAGTCCAAGTCTTCTCAAAAAAGAATCCCAATGGCAACCTCTTAAATGGACGCCTTCAGAAAATTTAATTTCAAATATAATTTTTAAAGTTGTTTCACTTCACCAAGGATGCTCTCTCTACTGTGAGTACCCAGCAGGTGGCTTCCCTACCCCTCACGGAGCCCCTGGGAAGTGACTGGTAATGGGAGCAGGCGCTTCCAAACTCACTGCACCTCCGAGGATCACTTTGAAGAAAAGAGACATTTTACTTCTTTCCAGTCTCTTCACCTTCCCAGAAATTGTCTTTACTTTGTCATCATGTCATCTTTCTCTCCTCAAATCCACCTCTCATTCCACTGCTGTCAGTCTTGGTCTTCCCAAACAGAAAACTGGGGGGACTCCCCCATCTTTAACACGTCACCAAGCCGCAGCGTGTCCTCCTACAAAAACCCCCACTGCTTTCCCTCACCCTGACTTTGGCTCCTTCACACCCAGTCTCTTGGAGTCCCACATGTGAACTAAGATTTAAGAATTACCCCACCTCCCAGCCCCCGCACATACACCCTCACTGCTGCTCACGGCCTGTTCCCACTTTCTCAGGAGCCCCACTTTTCCTTGGAGCCCACACTCACCAACAGCACCCCACCCGCCTTCCCCTAGCGGCTCCACTGGGGCACCTGCACTCGGGTCCTCTCCACTCCCCACAAGCACAGCTCACTCTGCTCTTGTTCGCGTTCAGGGCGGGGGAGGCCCTCCCTATATTTAGTGTGTCTCCTACCACCATTGGTCTCTACCTTCCTCCGGCACGTTTCCAAAGTTGGAATAAACGACACCTGTAAAAATCATCTGAACTCTGGAGAAGAAAACAATGTGTGAACCCACATATCTTATTATGGTGGCTTCAGAGTTCTTTTAAAAGAACTAGATTAAACTGCCTCCTGACTTTTCTTTATTGCAGGTGAAGCTGTAAATAAGAAGACAGTCGAAGATCTTCCTAATGTCTAATATAAACCGGGCTATAGCAAATTACCCTTTTTTTCAAATTAGGTTTTGAAGGTTTATGTGGGTTTTTCTTTTTTAATTGTACAGTAGAGTAGTGTCTGTATAAATGTTAACTGTAGTGGGATTTTGTCCAGCAAGCCTGAAATTTATACTTTGAAATAAACGACTGGGTTTTACAAAAAAAAACTAGGTTAACAGCTGCAGGCCAGCATCATCCATTCTAGGGTGTGTTAGAGAAGAATGGAGGGGAGAAGGGGAAAGAGACCCAAAAGGCAAGAGAGCGGGGAAGGGGACGGAGCGCTGTCTACTAAAAACTGGGCGCTGCCATCCAACGCAGCTCGTGTGGACGCGCCCCCCTCGATGCAGGAAGAGCCAGCGGTGTGGACTCTGAACCTGCAGACCCTGCGGGGGATCCTGCTCTCGGCTTCTACCGTGGAGATGGGCCGGGGCTGCCGGAGGAGTGGGCGCAGCGGCTGTGGTGGACGGCAGCCCCAGATGTGAACAATGGGCTGTGAGTTCAGACCTGCTCCTTAAGCCCCTGGAGGACAATGAGCAAGGGAGCCTTTCCTGAGAGACAAGGAGGGAGAGGGGCCTGCGGTGCTCCCACTGACTCTCCAAGCACCCGACATGGAATTCTGTTTCAGGCTGACATCTTTGACCGAGAAACAACACAGGCTGCTTTTATTTTCTAATTTAGCAAGAGCCCTTTGCTCACTTCCGCGGGAAGTATAAGAACAAGTCTGAGCTGCTTTAAGGAGAAGGAAAATCCTCATGGGGCACCTACCCTGCACCAGACACGGCGTAAGGAGCTTCATGGCTGCGACGTCACCGACATCTGACAAGCCACTAAGAAATGGGATCAAGGGACATCAGCGGAAACCAGAAGACACAGACAGGCTGAAGGCAAATGTCTTTTTGGTCACTGGCTAGAGAAAAGCCCACGAGAATGAATAGCAGAAGTAAAAAGTGGAACTGACAGGGCAAATTCCCAGGTTTTGAATTCCAAAGAACTGGGGTGGGGGTGGTCCTGGGCTTACGGCATGAAGTTCACTGGTTTCACAGACAGCCAGTGTGCACACCCCAATTATGCTCTTTCTGTGTTTCTTTTTGCTGTCTTGACTACGTGGCAATTTTTACATTTCTCTATCAACTGTTCCCTTGACTGCTTCTCTTTCAGTTCATGTGCATAAAAGACCTCACTCCGGGATCAGATAACAAATCGCTTAATATCAGGAAGGATAAGCTTTCAGAACGTGCAGCGCAAAAGGAGAGACTGATGCGCACTAAGGTAAATATGTCAGGTGATGAGTAACTGAAATTCAAACACGTGGCTCACCTAACACTTGAGAAGTTCGAAGAGGAAAGGAAGGCAGGTATGTGGTCCAGTGTGTGTGTGTACGCACGCACATGCGTGCTAGGAGAGCAAGTGAGTGATGGATGAAGACACCAAGCAAGAGGGCTGAAGCGTCAGTAACAGCCTTTGGAGATGAGTTGAGAAAGGGAAATAAAGAGGTGAGTTTGCAAAGGATGCCTAAGGCCAGAGTGTAAAAGGCCTTGAAGGCAAAATTAAGATGTGCATCATAGTTTACAAGTCTTGTATTTCACACCAACTTAGCATGTGCTGACCCTCTTAGAAGTGGTGACTTAGAGAGGAGAGGAAGGATACCTTCAAAGAAGGAACCTAAACAAACCACGGCACCCTGAGGCGATGGTACCCACAGACCCTACACACGGAGCACGGCGATGGGTGACGTGCGTTTCACCCCGACTGAGCCTGGGGCAGGAATGTGAGTGACACAGAAGCTTACCTCCTTCTGCTTCTTAATGATGACAGAAAATTCCGTGTATGGGATCCGTGGATTTAGCTCACATCCCATTAAAGTGGCTCCTTCATAATCCTTGATATAGCCAACATATTTGGTTTTAGGGATTTTAATTTCTTTGGAGAAACCCTGCAAGGCAAATAACTTCATTCAGATGGGCCTTGTGTCTCAAAGACCTGTCGTGCGTGCTGGGCACGCCTTCACGCCGAGCTCACATCCAAGCTCGCCTATCCCGGGAAGGATTCGCATGAAACCCTTCCAAGAAGCTCAGAAACATCAAAAATAACACTGTGCAAATGGGAAGCAATTCAACATAAAAAAATAATCCTAGGAAAACATACATAAGATTAGAAAGTTTTTTAAGAGGCTGTTAAGTAAAACTAAGGTTTAATTTTGTATCCAACTACACAATTTCTCCCAAAGTGGAGACGGGGCCTCTAGAAGTCCTAACAAATCAAAAACTGACATGGATCTAAATTCTGAAAGAAAAGTTTGTCAAAAAATAGAGCAATTAGGGGCAGGGTTATAGCTCAGTGGTAGAGCACATGCTTAGCATGCCTGAGGTCCTGGGTTCAATCCACAGTGCCTGTATAAAGAAGAAGGAGAAAAAAAAAATCTCTATATATCTATATATATACATACACCAATTAGAACCCTGATGTTGAGGAAATGAAACACCCACTTGACAGGCAAAAAAATTCCAGACCATCACAACTGTGGCTGTTTCAGTGATAGTAATGCTTCGCAGGACATTCATTTACATACTTTAAGCTGTGTTAACATAGCTCTACAGGGTACACAGTCACATATCTGTAACAATTTGCCTCACAGTGCCTATTTCAGAGTTTTGGAGAAAATGACTTGGACTTCAGTGTCCTTTCTCCTCTTTCAGCAAAAACTTATTTTCCAGGCAATAACTGCCATAGGCCTGAAAGAGGACGACAGACAAGTCATTTAAGAAGCACGGCTGGGACTTCATCTCTGCGATGCAGTTCCAGCCTAGGACAGCTGACACTCAAGCCCTCAGTAGAACAATCCCCCAAGCTCTCTCTAGTGAGTTTTATTGTAACAATCATAGATGCACCCCAAAGAACGAGAAGAAAATAAATAGGTTAACTATCCAACACTGGAGGAGGGAAAGCCTTCTAGTCATATGAGGACTTATATGAAAAACAAAAAAGAATTTAATACATTTCAATAGAAAAAGAGGCAAAATGCAATGACGTGGCAGGTCAAAAAAAATGAACAAGGAATGAACAAAGTGTCAATGAGGGAAAAAAGTCAAACCTCACAATATTCAAATAAATACAAACATGCATAATTTGTTAACTAGGAAAGGGGTAAAAAAAAATATTTTTCAGTTGTCAACTCCTTTCCTGAGCCCCCTGAAATGCTGCTGAAGAAAAGAAGTTGTTACAATATTTGGCAGTGAATAACAAAATCTTAAATATGTCTGCAAGCATATACTTACAAATGGGCAGTTACTTACAAAAAATACCTAAATGTCCCAAAATGCGGTATTGGCTTAATAAATTATTTTCCATTTACACAACAAAACTTCGGAGAACCATCAAAAATCATATTTTAAAAAATCAGACTGTATTAAGTTAAAAAGGCAAGTAATTAAATTACATACAGCATGAGCCAACTTTTGTATTTATACAAACACACAGAAAAAAATACTAGAAGGCTATTTATCAAAACATTAACAGTAAATTTCTCTGGGTGGTAGAATTATAAGCAGTTTTTCTTTTTTTTTCCCCCCTTTGTCCTTTATTTCATTTCCCCAAATTTCTACGGTAACTATACATTACTTTGGTAGTCTGAAAAGTAAACAGAAATGTTTAGGAATTATAAAGCACTATTTTAAAAAAAATGTAGGAAAGAGTAACCCTCAGAGAGCTAAGATGAGAACTTCTGACCAAAAGAACTAAGCCCCTAGGCCTCTGTGTGCTGCGGAACCAGCAGCCCTTTGCAAATGTTAGGATTTGCTCTCTGCTGTCAGAAATGAAGGCCTCCCAGAGACCAAGCCGATTTCTCTCACAGGGAACTCCAATTCCCCAGCAATGGGAATGTCTCCTTGGCCTGGGGACACCATATCTTAGAATTTCAGGCTGCAGTATCACCCTTCACTTACAGATGGCATTCACCCCTGCACTCAACATTTATTTAGTACTCACGGTGTACTGGTCATACCCTCTGATCTGGTCTGAGGCTGACCTCTGGCTAAAGGCTTGAAAAATAAATGTATGTCCTTCTTATAAGCAGAAAACACTAGGGAGGGGAGAGGGGCTTATTTGCATGAAAGCTCCCTGAGTACATACTAAGAAAAAGAATGACAGACAGGGTTGCACAGTAAAAAAAAAAAAAACAAAAAAAAAACAACCGACCTGCTTCTTGAAATATCCAATCGCATATTCATCTGCATAGGTGAGGAAGTTCAAGATGTCATGTTTTATGTGATATTCTTTCAAATGGTTCATCAGGTGCGTTCCGTAGCCCTGTGTGCAGGTCAGTATACAGACAAATATATTAGGTTCTGGAGAAAAGAAAGCCCTACATTTTCACTGGAAAATACTGGCAAATTTAAGAGACTGTTATCACCGATACAGTGCTAACACCCTCTGCTGCATTTCCCGACTTTGAAAACGAGATACAGAACCAAAATGTTCTAACTCCTTGAACTGAGATACGGTCATCATTTGCAAAAACAAGTTTCTGGCTCTTTGAGAAGAACACACCGAGGCTACAAGCTGCTGGTTCGGTCCTGGAGATTACATGCTGGATGTTGATAAAGAGGCTTCTGGAGTAAATACTGATTATGAATTTCTGCTTATCTTCAAAGTATTTGAGAACCTGAGGTGAAAAGAGCCACATAAGTGAGAAGTGCTGATCTTTACTAGGATATTAACTAACTCAAGTGTTTTCCTGCAAGACTCCAAATCAGCCATCCTTCCACAGAACAGTACCATCATGTGCACAGGATTTTCCACTTGGTCTTCTCAGACCTTTCCAAGCAAGATCTGAGAAGCCGCAAACCTCTGAGTGAGCCAGAAGACATGAGGAAGTAACGAACAATAGTGTCAGATAATTAAGAGGGAGAAAATAAGCTATGCCTTAAAGGAGTTTTGTCAAATGGGAAACAAGGTAAGAAGATGGCCTGGAAACCCATACATTTATGTATGGAAAACTTAACGTACACAAAAGTATTTTAAAAAGATAGCAAGAAGGTGGGTTTATAACCTAGGGACACAAGAAGACTTCTTAAAGAAGATATAAAATGCAAAAGCATAAAGGAAAGGACTGATTATTAAGGAGACAACTTCAAAGTTTAAGACTTAAAGAATTCGTAAGCGAAGTAAGATAACCATAAACAAAAGACACATGACAAACAGGGAGGGTACAGGTGTAAGGGATACAAGAAACTGACATCAAGAATCTTCTACAGGATCACTGCAAAAAGAGAGAGACAGCCTATAAGATAAATCATCAAAGGAACAAGCAATAAGTATAGCCAATAAATATAAAAAAGATATTCGATCCCAGTAGTAATCAGGGCGCTCCATCAGGAGATGGAGTATCTCACTCAGCAGTATGCAAATTTCTTTAAGGCTGATGATACCCAGTGTCAGTGGGACAGGCAAAATGGTACTCTCCACCACCACTGGGGCAAGTGTAAATGAGAAAACCCACTGAGAAGGGTGATCTAGACATAAATTTTAAAATCGAGACTGTGGCCATATTCATTCATCTAACAATGCTGCTTCTCGGTGTCTAGAAATCATTTCCAAACAGAGCACTGTTTGTGACAGAAAATAACTGGAAATAAACATGAATGCCTTCAATAGGGAATGATTGCACAAATTACGGTCTTTCTGCATTATGCAAATTTATATAAAAAGAATAAAAGACCTCTATATCAGCACATTCAAAAGGGATTTCTGCAAGGATGGAAACAGTCTTCATCTATGCCGTCCAAAATGACAGCCATCGTCACACGTGGGGGAGAGCAGAGCTCGGTGGGAGAGCGTATGCTTAGTATGCACGAGGTCCTAGGTTCAATTCCAGCATCTCCATTAAAAAATAAACAAATAAGCCTAATTATCTTCCCCCACCCGGCCACCCCCCCCAAAAAAAAAGAAAAAGAAAAACTAAACTAAAAAAAGAAACATAGTTGCATGTGGCTACTGAGTACTGAGTGACTGAAAAACTGAAACTTAAATTGTGTTTCATCATTTTTGTTGATCTAAATATAAATTTAAATAACCACATTTATGCACTAAAGCTGAAAGACCCCTAAGATATAATGGAAAAGTGTTGGGGTTTTTTTTCCAATTAGGTACAGGATGAATTCTGTTTATGTGAACAGCACACCACACAGTCACCTCTTACACACAGGTACTCATCCACATACGTGAGTCAGCAGGGAACCACCTGGAAGGATGCACACCAGGCTGACAGTGGCTGGATGGCATAGGGATGGGCGACAGGGATTTTTGCTTGATCTGAAAATGTCCTTGTGCATGACCTATGTCATTAAACATTATTTTTAAAGAAAAGTGAAAGGAAAAAAAAACTGAAGAAAAGAGAAGGGTTGGCTAGTTGAGGGAACTGTCTGTGCATGGGAATAGCAATGTCTAGCAATCAGTAAGAAATGCATCTCTTTTTTTTTTTAATTGAGGTATAGTCAGTTGGGGAGAGTATAGCTCAAGTGGTAGAGCACATGCTTAGCATGCACAAGGTCCTGGGTTCAATCCCCAGTACCTCTTCTAAAAATAAATAAATAAACCTAATTACCCTTCCCCTACCTCAAAAAAAATTGAAGTATAGTTGATTTACAGTGTTGTGTTAATTTCTGGTGTACAGCATAGTGATTCAGTTTATATATATATATATATATTCTGTTTCAGATTCTTTTCCATTATAGGTTATTACAAGATACAGAATATAGCTCCCTGTGCTGTACACTAGGACCTTGTCATTTACCTATTTGATATACAGTAGAAATGCGTCTTCTGAAGAAACTCACTTTCACATAGATGTGGTTGACGAAGCTCAGCTTTCACTGTGTACACCACCCGGCAAGGAGTTCACAGACCTATACCTCTTCTCCCCTTCACCCACAATCCAAGGATTTTCCTCAAGAACAATAACGGTTCTTTAGTAAACAGCTTCCCAAAACCTCCATAAGAGATTCTCCATCAGTGGCCACTAACTCATCACCTCTCCAAAGACAGGTTCCAGGTTCCAGGTGCTTGCGAGTAGGGGCTGTGTCTTTCCACTCGAACCCTCTCTGTGTCTAGTACTGTGACTGGCAGGAGTGGACACTCAAATATGTCCCTGGCAGCATGGATGGGCCTAGAGATGATCGTACGAAGTGAAGCAAGTCAGACAGAGAAGGACAAGTATCACATGATACCACGTACGTGAAATTTTAAAAAATCAGACAGATGAACTCATTTACAAAACAGAAACACTACAGATGTAGAAAACAAGCTTATGGTTACCAAAGGGGAAAGGGGCAGGGAAGGATAAATGAGGCGTTTAGGATTAGCAGATACACACTACTATATGTATGTAATCAACAAGGTCCTACTGTGTAGCACAGGGAACTATGTTCAATAGCTTGTAATAAGCTATAATGGACAATAATCTGAAAATATATGTATAACTGAGCTACTTTGCTGTGCCCTGAAACCAACACTGTAAATCAGCTACACTTCAATAAAAAATAAAGTTAAAAAAAGAATATGTGCATATATATATATACACTTCAATAAAAAATAAAGTTAAAAAAAGAATATGTGCATATATATATGTGTATATATATATATACACACACACACACACACATATATGTATATATGACTGAATCACTATGCTGAACACCAGAAACTACTAACACAACGTTATAAATCAACTATACTTCAATTAAATCAATCAACAATTCATTCCTTGGTTAAACACGCATTTACAGCGTTAAGCTGTTATATGCAAATGCTCAGATTTTCACCCCAGAACCATTTCCCTTATTTGCTATGCTTTTATTTTTAACTGTCACCAAAAGGACCCCTTTCCAAATCCACCTGGTAACTTCAGTGGTTATAGCAGCATTTATTATGGTAAGTATTAGATATGCACGAATTGTATGTAGTATTGCACGTAATATCAAAGCCAAATAGTTCTTAGATAAGCTATTCTAAAACCAGGTGAGTTTAAAGTAAATTCTCAAATGTTATCCTGTGTGTTCTCTGACCAAGGTAAATTCACAAACAAACCTAGTTTAAAACATTCACAGGAATTTGTATAGAAGCTTAATTCTCCAAAATGAGTGGATGCAAATGTTGAAGTATCATTTAGCCAAGACTTTGACTATATTACAGAAAAATTTTAAACCTCCACTTATGAACTTGCTGTTTTCACAAATACGTGCTCCCAGCACTGGCTTCCCTGACTCATCCATTCTACTCAGTTTTGAAAGACTCATCTTCATTTTCTAAAACTAGTTTCAACTCACTTTTTTTTTAAAGTGTTTTTTTTTTCTTTTTTTAGTTTTTCCTACTCAGCTTGTGATGTTTGGCCACCTTTCTTTAAGTCTTTAGAAAATTACATAATTTGGGGGCAAAAAAATAAATTGCCCTTCTGGGAAATAATAAGACAAAGCATCCAATTCATTATTAAACACCTTTAGTTTCCCTCTGGTATCCTCAAAGTGTCCAAGGTAACCTTAACCAACCTTTCCAAACAAGCTGCTTGGTGTAGCTTGCTTTGCAAACAAAAATTATGCCATCTTTTTATGAAATTATAAACCAAAGACATATTTTCCAGCTCCTCTCCCTATGAAAAGCCAGACAAAATTTTCCTCTTAAGTAAGTTCCTAAATCCTGAACGCTTGGAATTGTTTCTGACTTTGGCGAGAGGGAGAGAAAAACACGGTACGCACAGCAACAGCCCCATCTAAAAACGACGCTGTCAAAATTGCTTGCAAGAGGGCCAGACACCAGTTCCAGCAAAGTCCGGCCCTCACCTTCCCCAGTCAGAATGATGAATGTGAGATGGATGGATTTTGTTTGCCCTTTGATGCTTCGTACCCTGAGTCAAAGACAGAAGCCCCGTCCGTGCCCTGTGAGAATAAATCGCAGCCACTGTAACTGGCACTGGGACGCGCACAGAGAAGAGCTGTTAATGAAGGCGCAACACCCATCGCACCGGCTGCAGCCCCCGCCGGGCAGGGGCCCCTCCAGCTGCTCACTGTTGGGTCTTGTAAACAGCACTGCTTCACTGTAGTGGAAGAAGGCGACAACGTCCTTAGACCCTCACTGTCCAAGCCCAGGGCGCATGTGAAATGTGGCGAGTCCACACAGAGATGCGTGCAAGAGACTCAGTACAGATCAAAGGATGTAGATACACTCATAGTACAAATCGAAGGGTGTAAAATGTCTCAGTGACTCTGACGCTGAGTGCCTGTCACAATGGCCACACTTTGGATATATTGAGAAAAATTAAATATATTTGTAGAAGTGACCACCTATTTTCATTTGTTTTTTTTTTTTTCGACGTAGCTACTAGAAAATTTAAAATCACACACATGGCTCCCATTTGCACATCACAGTCTAGTTCACTGGTCGACGGGCCCTTACACCTTCCAGTCATTTTTCTCAACAGTCATCCAATCCTGAGCTGCTCGTCTTTCTACTGCTTGCTCGTGATTTTAGGACTCCGAAAATACCGATGAATAACAGACATATTTCTGGTTCCACTTTCATAAAAGCAGCAGAGCAGAACACAACATAATCCAGACCTTTCTGCCAACTGAGACACTCCTTTATTCCAGTCGGACTGCAATGCCAACTGCAGCATCGATGGGATGGACATTCTGGGTCCAGGGGAGGAAAGGACGTGAGCCAAGGCCAGGTGGGCAGACACACACACACACACACACTCCCCAAAAACCCCACGTTCCACACTCTGCATGAATATTTTGGAAACTCGGTCATCAATTTATTCAAATTTTTCATGACTTCCCTTATAAAATTTCTTTAGTCTTCGTCCCCCTTCAGGCACAAGATCCTAAGAAATCTTCCTGAAGTGTAAGCCTCCTAAATCATCTTCCTAATCCACAGGGCATCATTCCCACTCTGGAGGGTAGCGTCGCCAGGCATGTGTGCACATGTCTGCATGTGTAAACCATCAGTGACACTGAGACTTACTTTCAAGCATCCCTTCACCTGTTGCAAAGTCTTCCTGAGTTGCACCTGGGGCTGCGTGGTGTCCCGGCACCCTGCCCCAAAGTCCAACCCAGCCCGGTAGAGCCTGACTATTGGTCTGTGGAAGCATGTGCCCTACACATTCACACTCACATTCACACTCACACACACACACAGACACCCCTGTAGAAAGAGTACTCTCCTCCTAAAGTCCTGAACGCCACTGGGAACGCTCTCTGGACACGGCTCAGAGAGACCGGACCAAGCTCAGCATCGCCAGCGAGAAGCACCACATCCTGCGTTTTTTCTCCGCCCTGGGCTGCCCTTACCTTGACTTGCTCATTTGAGGTTACAGCGCAGAAAACGATCTCTGTGAACCCTTGGGATGGGAACATCCGGAAACAGATGCCACCGATGACACGGCCATCTTTAATTAAAGCTAGGGTTTTGTGTTTCCTGAAAGAATAAGATGATGTCAATGTTCCCTCTGTCTTGGTTCTGGAAATACACTGTTTGGGGTGCTCCTCACTGACCAACCAGGAAAAGTTGGGGTGGGAGTGGGGGTTCTTGATTTTCTATGGAAACCTCCCTTTATGTAGCCAGCGTCTTGCCAGACCAGTCTTAAATGTGGACTTTTTAAAGCAAGCTTGCCTGCACAAGACTTCATCAGAGCTCCCCTGAGGACAAAATGCCAGTCACCAAAGCAGGGTCTGAGGTTTATAAAGAACAGAGCACGTGTCAGGGGAAGGGTACAGCTCAGTGGTAGAGTGTATGCCTAGCATACATGAGGTCCTAGGTTCAATCCCCAGTACCTCCATTTAAAAAAAATAATAATAAATAAATGCATTTTTTTAAAAAGGTGGGGGTGGGTATAGCCCAGTAGTAGAGGATGTACTTAGAATAGACGAGGTCCTGGGTTTAATCCCCAGTACCTCCATTTAAAAAAGTGACAGAGCATGTGTGGAGGTGCTTGCTGGGAGGGGAACAGGGTACCCCCGATTCCCACAGAACCACGGTGAGGCCAGCGGGAGAGCAGCATCACAGCCAAACGTGACTATATTTCTGAAGAGTTTATCTCACTCAAAAATATCACAGAAATAATATGGAAAAGAAAAGTCCACACATACAATTTGCTAAAACCTGCATTACAGACCCCTGCCAGGCTCTCTCTCTGAACAGTCGCCTGCAAGGCTTGCAGTCCACACAGGGCGCCAGGCGCTCAGGTTAAAATACAGTCAATTAAGGAGGCTTACTTTTCTGTGTTTTTTTGCAGGTTGTTTTTTTTTAAGCAATAGATGGTCAGAGTTAACCTATATGATACCCCAGTAATCTTCCCCCTGCTCACAGACCCAGGCAACAATGGCACGTAATTAAGATCCCAAAATCAAGAACATTTAGACTGTGAAAAAAGTGGGACATCTTCTGAGTCTTCATATTCCTTCATTTCTATAATGAATGAAGCACAGGACAGTCACCAGCAACTTAAAATACAAAGCTTCACGGTCAAAAAACTGATGACTTAATGCGAAATTACTCTAAAAGCTTGTATCCAAGGCAACTACCGCCATGCCGCTGTGTATCCATGGTGGGGCGGGTGATGAAGGCAGACTCTCGCTATCTGAGTAGTTTCTCTTTCGTTTAAGACGGGAAAAAGGAAGCAGGGAGAGCAAAGCAGGACTTACGGGTCAAAGACAAGCCGTGTGATGTACTCCTTTGGCATCCGGGGCAGCTGATGCGAGAAGACGTTCTGCAACCCCACCAGCCACATCAGAATCTTCTTGTTGGGCTTCTGGTTCAGGGAGTTGCCCACCACGTGAAATTCAATCACACCCCTGCGCTCCTCCAGCCTGGCCGCCTCGTCCCGCGCTGAGTGTGCTGACAGAAAGTTGGTCTGGGGTGCGGGAGTCGGGAGAGAATTACACAGGGCTCTTCTCTTAGGGTGGCGAGGGGCTGGGACACAGAAACATTTCTCGTCTTTGTTCCAATCAGACACGTGTTTGTGGATTTTCGGGGTCCCAAACAATACATGCGAGTTATGAAAACCAAAGAGACAGCAGGTAAAGCATTTTGAGAGACCAGAGCATCGTATGTGTACATGGATATCTGGTGTAGATGAGGGGTCACCAAACTTTTTTTTAATAGAATTTTATTGATTTATTTTTAACAGAGGTGCTGCAGACTGAACCCAGGACCTCGTGCACGCGAAGCACATCCTCTACCACTGAGCTATACCCTCCCCCTAAACTTCCTGTAAAGGACCAGATAGCTAATATTTTAGACTTTGAAAGTCATAAGGTCTCTGGATAACCGCCAACAGTGCTGTAATGCGAAAGAAGTTCCAGTAAGACTTTATTTAATGGTGGGGTGGGGGGTTGGGGGTGCAGACTGGATTTGGCCCACGCACTTGAGTTTGCCAAACCCTGAGTTAGAGGAATCCCACCTGGCTGAGCTTGACAGCACCCGCGGGGGTGACAGATCCCAAATCCTCATTCTGGACCCAAGAGTGGCAGTCACGTTTATCCTGTCAGTACCTCTTTTCGGAGCACAGTATTCTTTGCAGAAGACCACTGTGGACCCACTCTCAACTACAGCAGGCCGCACAACCTATTAACCTACTCAGTGCTGCACAGATACATGTTCAACATACAGCACCCCCGAGGAAGAAAGAAAGAAAAGAAAATCCTATTTAAAAAAAAAAAGTTTGGTGACTCCTACTCTATAGCAAACATCTATGTACACATACAATACTGTGATCTCCCCAAATGCTTTGTGGAACCTGCTCATTTCATTGGTCTACAGCCGGCTGCCCAGGTGACCAGATGCCATCGTGGTTGATTTCAAGCTACCAAGGTATTTAACAACCAGCTCCCAGAATCCCTGAAAACCTAATAGCGGCCGCATGCACACCAGTACAAGTCCATTCCAGTACCTACAAAACACACCCAACAAATTCTGAAATGTGTGACTGCACCCACATTTTATGGCTGAACAAAACGGAGCTAAACTAATCTGTGAAGTTACTAAGTCCCTGAAAGACAAGTATGCAAAAGGTACTGTGGTTTGAAGTCCCCAGGGCCGGCTCTCTAAAAGGAAACAGAAAGAGCAGTTTTTTAAGATCTTTCTCTTAACGACTTTCCAGTTCTCTGAATTATCCTCAATAGCATGAAAGAAATCTCTAAGGAAACATGACAAATTAAAAATTGGTACTTTAATCTGGCAGAAGCATACTAAAAAGATTTTAAAAGATGCAAAATCATCTCCAAGCCGTTTCTTCATTTCCCGGAAGCTGTCAGAAATGTCTTAACCTGCTTTGTTGGGTGTGACACAATGAAATAACAGCAGTACGTTTCCTGAAAATGCTTCACTTGAGTCTAATCGCGAGTAAACAGACAAATCCAAACAGAGGGACATCATGCAAAGCCAATGACTCGGACTCTTCAACAAACAGCAGGGCCACAAAAGACCAAAAGAGGACTAGGGAACCATTCTAGAGTCAAGGAGCTGAGGAGATGAAAAGATAAGGACTACATGTAATGCATGATCCGTGGCTGATCCTTCAGCAACAGCCACACACGTTATCAAGGACAGAATTTGGATCTACAGGGAATTTGGATGTGGGCTGTATACAGACCAAGGGTCTACTGTAACTCTGTCCAAGCAAGCTTTTCTATAAAGGGCCAGATAACAAATATCTTGGGCTTTGTGGAACATGGATCCTCTGTCTTTTTTTTCTTTTTTTTAAGTTTAAAAAAAAGTTTGGTGGTGAGGAGGAGATGGGTAATTAGATTTTTTTTTTTAGACTTTGATTTATTTATTTTAATGGAGGTACTGGGGATTGAACCCAGAATCTTGTGCATGCTAAGCATGCATTCTACCACTGAGTTATGCCTTCCCCCACCACATCTCCCGTCTTAATTATTCAGATCTGCTCTTGTGCAAGGCAGACACAGATAATATACTTCAATAAGCCTTTATTTCCAAAACCAGCAAGTGGGCTGGATTTGGCCTGCCGGCTGTAGACTGCCAACCCATGTATTAGATAATATGGTAATATAGCTAAATTTTCTGGTAGTGATAACCACGTTGTGGTCATGGAAATGAATAGTCTCAGTCTTAGGAGATACAAGCAAAAATAGTTAGGGGCGAAGTGTTAGGACCTCTGTACGTAATTTAGAAATGGCTCCAAATGGTTCACAGGAGAGAGAGAGACAGAGGGAAATCGAATGGGGCATGTTAACAACTGGGGAATCTAAACAGAGTCTGCAGATCTTTATCAGGGAATTTCTGCAACATTTAGGAGGGCTTAAATTTTTCAAGATGGAAATTTGAAGGAGGACGAATGCCTTTAGCCGTGTGCGATCATGAGGATGTCTCCCTGTAATGTGATAGCATCGATTTCCACGCCCTCCCCAACCCGACCACCAGGCAAAATGCAAAGCAAGGTAGAATAAACACCCTCTCCCTCCGCAGCCCCGCCCCCATTCCCCACAGAGGGGGTGGCCCGGAGAGCACAATGGTCCCCCAGCTGGCTGCCCAGGTCCACCCTGCTGACCTCTGGCCCGAGCATCGCTGCGGGGTCCGTGATGGTGGACATGACCTCGTGGATCAATTCCAGGGGAATATCACCCATCACCCGGGGTTTCTTGGCCTCCTCCACAGCGTGAGAGTCATTCATTTTCCTCTTTTCTCCTTGACAGTCAAAATAAAAGAGCAAATGATGAGTTACCTTAAACACAAAGCAAATAATACAGGCCAGTGAATCCAACTAATTTTCTAGTAGCAATGCTGGGTGTCAACATGAAGTCAACTCTCCTGGACGGGGGAGGGCGGGAGTGGAAGTGGGGAGAAGGGAAGTGGTCCCAGGACCCGCCAACCACAGATCTGCCCTAAACAGTTTCTATTTACCCTGAGAACTTTTTAACTCAGTATACACATTACTGAGGGGTGCGTTCCTGCATTTGCACATTAAGGGGTGAGTCTAGTTCCTACTGGTTGTTAGTGTCCAACTTGGAGGTTAATAGTCCCTTTGTGGCCAGAGGATGTGGTCCATGTGATACCAAAGGTCAACAGTTTTTGAAAGTTGCTTTATGGCCTAAGATTTGACCCATTATTTGTTCATTAATTATTTGTAAACTAAGCATCTTCTTGGAACGAACATTATGTTTTCAGATTTTTAGTGATCTCTACATGTATTAGATGAAAACTGTTGATCGTGTTTGCAGAGCTTCTGTGTCCTTACACACGGTTTTGTCTGCTTGATCGATGAATTAACCAGAGATGTTTCTTCAAGACTTTGACTGGTGGTTGAGTTCATTATTTCTCCTTGTACTTCTCTTAATTCTCTTTCATATGTGTTTGTATGTATGTGTGTGTGGGGGGTGCATACAATGTACATGTGTCTATATCTATTTGACATATACTCATGAACTGTTTTATTTTGCTAGTGAAATTTAATTTGTGCATTACAAAATGACCCTCATTATCTCTCACAATGCTTTCCTGCCTTAAAACGATGCCTCACAAAGTGAGCAGGGCCACTGGCTGATGAAGTAGGGACACTGTCAACATGACACAAGCTGGGAAAGGCCAGGCAAAGGCACGGAGAACCTTCTCCCACTTCCCTCCTTAGATGACACAGTGGCTTTCTGTCCTTTCTATTATCACATTTGGTTTCTCCCTTTCGTTCTCCCTTCTGTCATAACGTATTTATTTTTACAATTAAAATTCCCCAGATGTTCACGTCTAATGTGTCCCTCAGGTGTGAAGCCCAGCAAGCATGACCTTTAGTTAGAAAGGAGCAGAGCGAAGTGTCTTCTCTGCGTAAGACGCACCCCCAGGCAGTACGTGTTACTTAGTAAATAGCTTCTGTCGAGTTCTTGTTTTTATAACTTTTTAGTCATTGTTACTGGAGGGGAGTGAGAATATTTTTAGCCATTTGACCAACAAGACTTCCAATCCCACGATTCCCCAAGAATACTGTTGTGAACTATTTATTTTGTAGCTGAGGTTTAAACCTAATAAGCCCCAAACTGGGCAGATTGCTAAGTGTTGCGATAAGAAAGCATCTGAGGCCACACCCAAGCTCCCTGGCAAAGAGTTTCTAGGTTGACGGGTGACGTCTCCCCTTGGAAGTGGGCGAGAGAGTGGTGGCACGCATGTTAAATGCTTAGCACATCATCTGAAGCCCTCTTCTCTCCCCCTTTCATGCCACGTCTTTAACGTCAAACTCTGGCCGTGCCCAAGACTGGCTTGCTGGCTGCCTTCATAACGTTCTCCATCTGTGAAATGCCTTTAGGACGAAGAGATGGTTTTGCCCACATGGCAGGTTCCATTCACGGCAGAGTTCTCTCCCCGCCGGTATCCACACCGTGCCAAGTGATTCTGCAGCTCTTCCTACAAAAGGAGTAGAGTGTATTTCTCCACTCCCTGACTCTGAGTCTGACCATGTGATTCAATGACGTGACAAAAAATGAGTCTAAGCAGGGGAGAGGCTGGTATACCAGTTCCGAGAGTGGACTTCAAGAAATTCTATTTCTTCTCACTCTCTGGTGCTTGTGCCACCGCCAGGAGGACATACACTGCCCCAAGGAAAGGAAAGTAATCCAGTAATCCTAGAAGGAGGATGAGAACTATGTGGAACAGAGATGCTCCAGCCTAAGTGTCCTCGCCGAGCCCAGAACAGAGGCCCCAGCCAGTGGGCAGACACACACAAGCCCAGCCTGAAGGAGACCAGCTGGGATCAGCCACCTCCCAGGCAGCACACGAGATGAGTGAGCTGTGATAACAGACCATTATGGTTTTAAGACTCTGCATTTTGAGCTGGTTTGTTACACAGCAAGAACTAACCAATACAGCTCAGAGTGAGTTCCAGCCATGAAAAGCCTGGACAGGTACCATCTGCAGCTGGTCTGAGTCTATGGTTGGCACTCCTGGGATAACAGACCTTCTAAGGCAAATCACAGCCCTCGGTTGTGCCCTCCAAGAGCTTACCTGGGTTTGCCTCAAGCCCAGAAGCACCTTTACAGGAAGGACTGGGACCACCCCCATTCGGCTGCTCCAGAGAAGATGCATTGGAATTGTAGGAAATTGTCCCGGCCACAGGAGGTGGATTGATAACTGCCCCAGGAAAAGGAAAAGAAGCTATTAAATGATGTCTTTCTTAGGCAACGGAGAACCAAGTGCACGTGAGACCATCTCATCCCCACCCAGCTGCACACAGAAGTCATCTTTAAAATAAGAGCTATGGGGACCCTGTGAGGATGATGAAAAGACAGGGATGGATTGTAACCCACTGGATAGAATCAAGATGATCTGAGTCCACACTGGTAAAATAAAATAAATGCATACATGAATCTGTGGGGAGAAGGTAAAGTTCTTCCTTACAGGAGAATGAATGTCAACCAATAAATAAGGAAGGAAGGAATGATGCAAGTTTGGGGTTGGGGTGGGGGCAAGCAGCCCGTATATAATAATTGATTCAGGGAAGAATCACCTGTACAGGCTAAAAACCTCGTGAATGTAATTTTGATAAAGACAAGATAGTCTCAAAGCATCTCCCCATAAAAGTACTTTTTTTTAATTTTTTAAACAAAAGGAGAAATGGTAACACTGCCTTGGAGAAACATCATAAACACCACCTTAACCCAGGGATCGAACTTGACGTCAGCAACAACGGGAGAGGCCAACGCCGTGTGGCCCCTGATGTGGCCCCAAAGTGCTACGAACCGCATGACTGAGAGGCAAAATGGAAAACAGCGTGTAGATTTGATAATACTAGTGCATCAAGGTTAAAACTCCTTACTTTGATAACTATGCTGTGGATAAATAAGAGGACACCCCTGTTCTTAGGAGATAACCTGCTGAAGTCAGTAAAGGGGCATGATGTTTGTAACTTTCAAATAGTTTAGAAAAAAAAATACACACATATTTATGAGAGAGAGACAGAGAGAGGCAGAACTGATAAATCAAGTGTGACAAAATGTTACCAGTTGGTGAATCTGGGCGAAAGATACACAGTACACAGGACTTCTCTGTCCTACACTTGTAACTTTTCTGTAAGTTTGAGAGTATTTCCAAACAAAAACTATTTGTTTTGCTTTAAAAAAAAAAAAGCCACTGTAGGAAACAGGACGTGGTCTGCTAGTGGGCTGCTCATCCGTAGCTGATGAGGGACAGCTGATGACGGTGACACTGGTCACAGACCTAGTCCGGCCGTGCAGACAGGTGCCCTTTAGAAAGCGTGTTCATCTCGGAGTCAATGCAGCCACAGTTCGGTCCACAGGGGACACTCCCAGCAGCCAAGAAAGTGATGGAGTAAGTAATCCCAGCAACAGAGAGACATGACGCCATGGTCCGCAAAAATTCAGAATACGCTAACACGCCGAGCCGTGTGGTCTTCCCTCCGGCACACAGGCTTTCTGAATTTCAAAGTACGCCGGAGCAATTCTCCCCAGAGGGGAGCTCTGGTGACTCAGAAGACATCTCAGTATCTCGCAGAACTTCAGAGCCATCATTACGAATGTCATGTCTGGCAGCCACACTGATGCTCAGACACGCCAATTAAGTAGATGACTGTACTTTTCCCCACCACCACCCGCCCCCCCTGAGAACACACCGCAGTTACATCAGAGGAGGAGACAGCCTGCTTCCAACGGTGGCAGGTGACACTGAAGAGTCCCCTCCAGCTTAACTGGGTTACAACCTGAGCCACAGAAATAAACCTGAAATTCCCAGAGGATCGGAGACAACCTGCCTTCTCCATCCTGGGCAGTGGCAGACAGCGTGCCGGACTGGGCACATTGTGAGCAGGCCGGGGCCAAGGGGATTTTCACACAGAGGCAAATCCTCTACGGAGGACCCTCCGCACAAGCCTAAGTTGACCCCACCCGAGAGCTCTGCGTCCCCTGCCTGTGCTCCTCACCCATTCCTTCCACAAGCATTTGCCTGCACGTTTGCAAAGGACACTGGCGCGTGCAAAGCAGTGGTCAGAGCGCTGGCCCTTAACGCAGCGCCGCAGGGAGGCACAGGCCCAGTGTGAAACCAGCTCCATCGCTCACGAGCTCCGGTTTGGGGCAACTGGTTGCTCCTCTCTGAGCCCTCGTTTCCCATCCATATAAAGAGGTAGATAATGAAATACACATCATGATAATCATACCAACTTCCCATGGTTTGTGCTAAGACTTAAAGACATGAAGCAAATCTCACGGGCAAGCACTTCCTGGACGTGTCCGCTACGACTGTGGACTCTGTGCAGGAGTCATGCTCTCGGGAAAGAGAGATGAACTGGGAGAGGCGGCTGGGACAGCACGGGGCAGGCGCCCTGCGACACGGGAGTTCTCAGGCTGCTGCGCGTCACAGTCCCCTGGCGAGCTCTCAAAAGTCTCGATGTCCAGGGCACACCCTGCACCAATGACATCACACACACTCTCTGGAGGAGGACCTCTGAAATCAGTATTATTTTAAATCACGTGAGTGATGCCATGGTGCAGCCAAGTTAAAGAACCAAGAATAGGATGTAATCGAGGTTCTAGGAACATCTGGAAGACAGGAGATCCAGCCCTTGCTGGAAGGCAGGCATGGGAAGCACTGGGGAAGAGTCTGTGGGAGAGAGGCCATTTGAAAGTCAGGTGAGAGAAAGACCGAGAGAAAGTGAACAGCACGAGACAGGGGGAGGAAGGCAGGACGTCTGCCCTGGCGCCACCGAGAGCACGTCCAGGAAGTGCTGACGCGTGGGTCTGGGGCTCCGTCACGCACAGAAGGGCCAGAGCACAGCAGGTTTTGAACCAGAGACACATGAAACGATATTCTATGATCTAAAGTAAAAAAAAAACAACACAGAAGATGTTTTTCACAAGCTTTTAGCAACAAGAATCCAGACAAAGAGGGCTGGATCCAAACCAAAACACCTCCTCTTCCCTAAGTAACTCTGCTCGGTAGGACTTAATTATACTTAGGTCCAAACCTGGGCTGTAGATGGAAAAAAAAAATAATAATCACCTCCTCCAATGCATGATGCTGAGTGGAAGGAGCCAGACTCAAAGCTACGTGCTGTATGGTTCCACACACACGGCATTCTAGGAAACGCAACACTACACGAGCAAAAAGCAAGTCAGTGGGGTGAGAGCGCTGAACGGACTACAGAGAAGACGGGGTGGGGAGGGTGTAGCTCCAGTGGAAGAGCACATGCTTGGCAAGCTTGAGGTCCTGGGTTCAATCTCCAGTACCTCCTCTAAAAATAAATAAACCTAATTACCTCTCCTCAGCAAGATAAAATAAAATAAAATGATACAATAGTAAATAAGCAAATAAATACTAAAAAAAAAGAATAGGGGGTTTTCTGGGGTGATGCAAGTGTTCTGTATTTTGATGGCAGTAATACTTACACAACTATGTGTGTTTGCCAAAATTCACAGAACCATATACTAAAAAGAGTGACTTTCACTGAATGTTAAAAAAAAATTGGGGGGGTGGGGAAATGGCAAGAATAAAATTACCTTTGCTGGAGGTCACACTCACGAGCCCCCGTATTACACACTGAACTAGATCTACCGAAAACGCGACACTGAAATTCCGCATCTGTCCTTCCCCACGGCCACATATAAATGACTGCTTTGGCACCATCTCTCGCCAAGCGTCTCCAGATCTTCCTAGCATCTGAGGCGGGACTGCACATTCTTCCCCCAGGATCAGTGTGACGCCAGAAGTCACACGCCTTCCTTCCTCACAAGATGGCAGCTGAGGCCACTGGCTGACCCAAGGCAAGGCCAGCGGGTGCCCTGCCCCACCGGGAAGGACTTTACGTCCCGAGACTCAAGACCACTCTCTTCCACTCACCAGCCTACCTTTATCCACGAGAGCAACTTGATGCACAAAACAGACCTCACAGATTCAGGCACTGGGATGAGATTTGATTCCTGGGCGTATCCGGCCATTGGCTGAGATTGTCAGTGTCTTTAGGAAGAGCCAGCATTTGCCTGCAGAACTGAAACCTCCCGTACAACTGAGATGTGCGGGGCAGGGGAACCCCACAGCAGGAGCAGTGATGGCTGTTGCTTTAACTTTGGCCACAGCGGCTCTCCTCACTAACAGAGATAGAGATGCAACGTCTGCCCAAGGGTTTGCTTTCTTGCTGGCTCCAGCCTTCAAGGTCTTGATGAAAAATACAAATGAATGCAGACTGAACTGCAACAAACACCTCCCTGGTTGTTTTCTGATTAACACACAAAAAAAAATTTTTTTTTTTTTACCTGTTTGGATTCCTAGCTGGCTGGTTCGGGAAGAAGCGGACAGAAAATCCTGATCCCAGATGGGAGAGTTTTGATTATAAACTTCTTCTTCTAACATGGACAGAAACCTAGACACAAGAGTGAAAGCAACAGTGAGATCAAAACTACCGTCCTACCAGAGGGACAAAGACCCCGCCATCCACGGCAGTCACCGCCACATCCGTATCTCCTCTTCGATTCAGAAACACGCTAGGGAATGACGACTCAAAGGATGATTTAGTTGGACAGCCCTGGGATATTCAAATACAGAAATGCATCTCTGCAAAGGGACTCTCTTCTGGCTCTGCAAAGACAGACACAACACAGACTATACAGAGCATCACAGCGGTGGAAATGCATTCCCCTGGCTCCCCCTCAGCGAGTCTCCAAACAGGATTACAGCCCTCTGCCGAGTTGTCGTTGTCACCGTCATTACCATCACAAAGGTGCTAATATTTATTGAGCGCTGGCCCTGTGCCTGCACTGTTCTAAAAACTTTTATTGAAATCTCCATCAAGCCAGTGAGTTACCTTTTTATTTCCTTATTTTTTTTTTCCAGTACTTTTTCTTTTGCTCCTATGTTTTTTTTCTTTTTTACTTTTCTTTCTTTTGGTGGGGGGAGGTAATTAGGTTTTCTTATTTTTATGGAGGAGGTACTGAGGATTGAACCCAGGACCTCGTGCACACTAAGCATGCACTCTACCACTTAAGTTATACCCTCCCCTCGTACCTTTCTTATTTTTATTTATCACACACACACACAGCTCCTACTATGTGACAGACACCGTTCTAAGTAATTGAAGTCTACTAACTCACTTGATCTTCATAACAACCCCAGGAGACAGGATGTAGTATTGTACCCATTTTACAGATGGAAAAACTCAGGCCACAGAGAGGCTCAAGAACTGGTACGAAGTCCTACAACCAGTAAATTGCGGGGCCAAGATTAGAATGTGTGATTAATTACTGTATTATATTTCCTGTCATGTTTTAAACTAAAGGGACCTCAAGTTTTGGGGACCCACAGAAGTCACCTGGGTACCTTGTTAGGAATACAGATACCGATGCCCAACCAAGGTTTACTGAAACAGAGGCTGTGAGCATGGCCAGGGCAACAGACTTCTGATAAATACCGAGGACAATTCGTATAGACTCTCAAATGGAAGAACCATGATGAAAGTAAATACACAGGTCTACGCTTCCGGCACTGGAGGACCTTCCTGCGAGCCTCTCTGTAAGGTGCGTGACTTCTCATGGAGGGGAGCAGCATAATGAGACCAGCCAAGAGCCTGGGTTCTAAATCCCGGTGCTAAGCTCCTTGTTATTTGTGTGACCTTGGAACAAATTCTTAACTTTCTGCTTCTTCAGTTCTCCTTTCATAACAGGACTATCGACAGTAACTCCTGCACAAAGAAGCAGTAAGGAATACACTAATGTCAGGCTTCAAGGGGTGCCGACCCCAGGTAGGTGCTCATTCCTTCACTCAACAAACACTGCCTGACCGCCTCCCCACGTGCCAGGCGCTGTGGGAGGCGCTGGAGGACAGAGTGAAGACAGCCGGGCCCGGCCTCATGAAGCTGACGTTGCAGTGACATCATAAAGGTCCGCTCTTCTAAGTCCACTATCCCTTCTCCGAAATTCTGAAATCCAAAAGCCGTTAAAAATATTTTTTCCCTAACCCATTTGGGCAACAAATTCTCACCCGAACGCACATAAGACCACAGTCTTTATAATTACAGATGGATTTGCTTTGGGGAAACTGCCCCACCCCTAAAGCTATGATATATATATATAGAACATGTGTTGTGTTACCTTCATAAAGGTGTCAAGTCACCTTCAAACTTGAATTGTGAGGTCTGGATAACTGATCAAGGACCTACAACATCACCACCACAGTGACTATTACTGAGAGAGTACCACTGCTCTGCTCACTAGTCAAATCCACAAGACTTTAGGTCTCAGAGAGGGGAGGAGTTGGGGTTTGGGAAGTGAGAACCGGTTGGGAAAGGTCACGAGGGTCTTCCAACTTGCCGCTCATGCTCAGAGGATTTAAGAACAAGGGACCAGGAGAATGAACACCTATCCACCTGTACTCCACGGTTCACAGACACAGCATAGCATGTGTCACTTCTTGCTAAGCAAGCCACCGTCAGCTTACGCCTTAAAACACTTAGTATGTGCCTTAGCGGACACAGCAAGGCTGGCAGCAATAGGAGGGGAAGTCCTTCCTAAGATCACGCTCTGATCTTGCAGATGAGAGGGAAGACCTCCGCCTTTGCCTAAGAAGAGCCTGCCTGTACCCGCCACAGCCCTCAGTGCTTCCCCGCCTGCCCTTCATCGTGGAAGTCCACTCTCTTTCCTTCCCCAGGCTCCTCCTTTATCAGTAATTATACAGTCAGAACACTTCACAAAGCCCTACAGAGACTCACCAAAGAAGAATGCCATTAATAATTTAGGAAAATGGAGGCGGTGGGGGACGAGAATAGCTCAGTGGTAGAGTGTGTGCTTAGCATGCATGAGGCCCTGGGTTCAATCCCCAGTACCTCCATTTAAAAAAAATTAGGAAAATAATCATGTGTGTATTACATATGTATACGCATCTATATATATATATATGGTTATATATATATAGTGTTTTATATATAGTTATATATAGTTATTTCAATAGAATAAAGAACAATCTCGTGTAATGCCATAGGAGGTGCTTGTATACACACAGGATACAAAACTGTATGTAGAATAAAAGAATGCAACACCTGGGGAAAAAACAGATCTAAAGGCACTGACAGTCTCTCACGGTGGCAGGGCTATTGTGGCTCTTTTGCATGTTGGTTCCAAATTTTCATCAACATGTCTGTTTATCACTTTGAGAATCAAATACTGAAGTTGTTTCTTTTTTAACAACAACTGTGTCAGTAGGTGGATGGGGGGAAAGCCAAGCGGAAGCCAAGGCGCCACGTGAGGAGCAGGATCGTAAGGATGCAGCCCTGAAGGTGCAGCTGGGACGCCCAGCGACCTCCCCGGGTGCTGCGAGGGGCCAGAGCTGTCACTGAGAGTCAGTCCAAGACCCAGGTGGCAGCTCCAGCTTCAATAGATGCGATTCTGCTGCCAAACCTGCAGGTTATCAGCCCCTCGGAGCCTCATATGTTGTCATATTCAACAAAAAGAGATTTTAACAGAGGAGTGGGTGGTAGCTGTACCCTACCATTAGTAACAGAGAAGGGAAGAAAGCGATACTGATTTTTTGGCTGAGCAGCCAAAGCATGCCAGACCCTGGGCTGAAGGAACAACGCACTGTAATTAGAAAAATGAATTTGCTACAGGAAAAAAAATTGTTACCGTGCAAGGTAATTAAAATTTCTTTTGAAGCACCATAAAAAAAGGTGTGAGGGAAGAGGGTTCCTCTTTGTCCCTTGGCTTAGAGACCAAATGACAACTATAATCCAAACACAAAATGCTACTTATGTGGCAAATGTAAGAGAGAAATAAGAAAACTGCTTTCATCTCTAAGGAAAGTTGCTGAGACCAGTTACAAGGCAGCCACTGAAACACATGAGCACACCCAGGGCTCACAACCCGTTTAGGGCAGCATCCCAACTGCAGCTTAGCAGGGGAGGGCAGAGCTCAGTGGCAGAGCGCATGCTCAGCACACCCGAGGTCCTGGGCTCCATCCCCTGTATCTCCCTCTATCAACAGAAGGGAAAAAAATGCAAACTGCAGTTTAAGTGCTTCTGAACCTTCCTCCCTGGAGGATATCAAAATGTTCCTGTCAGGCCTCAATCCTGTGCGCTGGTGGCCTTAAGGAAATACCACAAATCAGAGGCTGGGATTTATGTGCAAATACTGGGACGTTTAGCTAAAGCTCGTTAGACACATTCTGTAACTAAGATTGAGGGTTCGTGTTAAACTGCAAAAACAAAAGAAAAAAAAACTGCGGTTAACCTCTATCGCAAAACCACTTTTGTTGTTGTTTTGGTCCTCACTTATTTCTACAAATTAAAACCATCACCTTTCCTGAGACACACACTGGGTAAATCCAGTAATAGTTACAGTAATAAAAAAATCTAGTTTCTCAAATAAAACAGAATTTCCTCAATCTTTTGCTCAAAGACTTTAACAGCTCCTCTCTTCCACTCTATCCTCTGGTCTCCAAGCCCTCACTCGATCCTCTCTCAGACCCAGGAAGCCTTTTCAAATGATGGTTTCCGCCTCCTCCACCCAGTGCTACTCCGGGCAGAATGGACTGTCTCCTTCATGTCTTGTCATCACTGCTCCATGACACGTTGTCATCTGCACCCTCAGCCTCTTACCAGCAGCCAGACTCTGAGCTTAAATTTGTGGTTCTCTGCAGTGAAAATGCACTTCCAAGGCCAACGGCACAGCCCTGTGACTTCCTACGCCTGTGACACATTTCCCACATTGGAAAAATATTTAAATGATTACTCATATGTTGGGGTTCCGGCACGCAAGAGCGTGCATGGTCTACAAGAATCTGGGTGCGGAGGTGCAGAGATCATTCTGAAGAAGGCCCCCCTTCCTGGGACCTAGTTCACTTGGGCTGAGACAGGAGAGATCAGCCTGGCTTAGGACGGGCTGGAGACCTGGGATGGGAGGACCAGACCCCGAGTTGCCTGCACCGCTTCTGATGAGATGGAAACTGCTTCCGTGCAGTCTCCCTGTGCCCCCTCGCATCCTGGCAGCTGAATGCACACAACCAAGCTCTGCCCCACCTGTGAGGCTCGGAGACACTGGTGCAGGTGGGTCGGGGGGGGGGCGAGGGGGGCGAGTGACACAGAGTCAAGCTGTTCTCAGCCGGGCTGGAAAGCACCCAAGGAGACCCCGGGGGGACGCTGAGAAGGAGGCGGGCACTCTTCCTACCCCTCCTGACCTCACATCGATGTGGGCTTTGCCACTCATCCCGCAGTCTCAAGCCCTGGCGTCAAAGACCCACAGGAATGCTCCCTTACTTCGGGAAATGGGTGAGGATTAGGGTCCGTTTCTCCAGCGGCAGTTTGTCTTTTTCCTGTCTCGCCTGTTCCAGGAGCTGCCGCCTCATGACGGTGAAGACAGAGCGGAGCAGGGTTCTCCCGAACACCTGGGCGGTCTCGTACCGGGGCAGACTGTCACAGAACTGCGGCACGTTGCAGTAACACAGCCACCTGCAACCAGAGGAGACCCGTGCCATCAGCATCCCATGAACCCCAGGCCGTCCCAGACACCAAACACCCAAGTACGGTTACTCTATCCCAGTAACCTCGGCGGGAGGAACGAGGTCGGTGGGAGGAACGAGGTCTGTGGGACCAGCAGAAGCATCTCTACCAGCTGGTGACACCTGGGGATCAGGCTGGCGCACCGCTTGGGTCCAATTCTATTAGAATCATTCCATTCTGCAGCATCCTTTAGAGAGGAGGAGAAATTACAAGGGGAACCAAGGAAGCCCCTTCTGGGGAAGAATCAGAACCCCACCGTCTAATCCTCTGAGTGAAATTTCAGGCTTCATGAAGGCAGTACTCACATACCCCCGAGCTCTGGTGGGAAGATAAAGATCTTCAGACTGTGCAAAACTCAGTCAAAAAGCAGGAAGTAATAAGCTTCCACCATCTGTTGCTTGGGTGTATTTTCACTTAGACCCAAAGTCGAAAAATGCACTCATCGCACGGGGCTGGAGGAGTGCCGGGGCCCCAAGGGAAAGCAGAGCGTTCCTGAGCCCTGACCACAGCTCCGGGGCCCCCGGGCTACCTAGGGCACACGACTCAGAATGGAGAGGGATAACCTGGGAGTTTGAGATTAGCAGATACTAACTACCATATACACAGTAGATAAACAGTAAGTTTCTTCTGTGGAACACAGGGAACTATATTCAGTATCTTGTAGTAGCCTGTAATGGAAAAGAATCTGAAAAGGAATATATATGTATGTATGACTGAAACATGATGCTGTGCACCAGAAATTGACACAATGCTGGAAACTGACTACACTTCAATTAAAATTTTTTTTTAAAAAAGGGAAAGGAAGGGAAGGAAAAAGAAAAGAAAGCTCATTTGGCCAAGAGATGCTAGAAAATGAACATCCATTCACAATCGACCTGCCTTCTCTTTGGTCTCCCAGCGAATGCAAGGCCTGCAATTCCCAGGACCCAGTGACATGGCCCAGAGTGGGGCCCGCAGGGCTGCACAGACCAGGGAGGGGTCGGAGCGTCACTGCCCAGCCACTGTGCCTTAGCAGCAGATCCAAACCCATCCTCTGCCAGGACAGGACCGCCTTCCCCCAGTAAAACCCTCGCCTCCCTGTGTGCCTTCCTGATCTGCTCTAAGGTGGGGAGGATGCCCCAGTGAACCGCCACCCCCTCAGGCAAGAGCGGATAATGTTAACTTACACTCAGGCTTATGGACTTATTTTTTATTCTGTATTACTTCATAGTTCTTCTGAGTGGGGGGTGACGGGTGTTTCATCTTTGGGGAAGAAAACTTTCATCAGTGTTAGTTCACCTAGATTCGAGATTAACCTTAAAACCCTGCTGTAGGATCTTTCATTTTGAGAAGTTCTGCACAACTCAGAATCTAAAGCTAATTATTTGCCACTTTCCCTTAGCGTACTCTGTGGGTCAGGTCTATTTTCAGAAGTCCTATTCCTCTGATACTTAATGTTCAGGTTATTTCCTCCTGGCATTATATAAGCACACCATCGTGAAATTCAGGGAATTCCAAAATATTTGTTCAGCTTTTTTTTTCCTAAAACCACAGTGATTTCTGGAGGATATATAAAGATCTATTTCATATATACTTATAATATTTTTTAAATGTTTTTGATATTAATTTTTGAGGTGGGGTAGGTAATTAGGTATATTTCTTTATTTAATGGAGGTACTGGGGATTGAACCCAGGACCTCGTGTATGCTAAGCACACACTTTACCAACTGAGCTATATCATGCCCCACCATAAACACTTACAAGACATTTTTAAGGTTAAGTATATGTTAACCTTGATGTACCAGATACTTATAACATATAAAATATTTATATTTTCCCTTAATTCAGAACAGAGAGTATAAGTAATTTAAGCAGTCCCATTGTTCAGTCTGCATTTAATTTATTGGATAAATCTGAGCAGGCTGGCTTTGTAAGGAACATAATCATTTTTTTGTTGCTGTCTTGTTTGTTTTGTTGTTTTGTTTTTTGGTGGAGGGAGGTAATTAGGTTTTACTTACTAATCTATTTCTTAGAGGAGGTACTGGGGATTGAACCAGGACCTCGTGCATGCTAGGCAAGAGCTCTACCACTGAGCTACACTCTCCCCTCATAATCATTGTTCAGTCCAGTCTTCTCCACGGACAACCCTACCTCTCCCCATCTTCGTGCTGATGCATGTTCCAGACGTGCTCGGCCCCTTTGTTCTAACTGCCACGACTGCTGCACATCACACGCTGAACAGGCAGCTCAGGTCTGAGGTTCCTTTACCATCAAGATAAGGCCCCGTGGTGCCTGCAGCTGTAACGGCACCCATCTTTGAGAAGATGCAATCAGTGAGACACCAGGCTCACGTGGCATGAGTTTTCTGAATTCCCAAGTGGTCGTGACAGTGAGGTTTTGCTTTGAAACACGTCTTGCTTCCCATCGTGGTCACAGGGTGTTCCTCTCCTTCGCTTTCTTCATCACCACCGGGCGACAGGGGAGCGGGGGGTTGGGGGGAGAGGCTGTCGTCTACCTTCATTTCCTTATTTATTATTCAGAGGCTCTTGGTCTCCATCTCGCCTAGAAATCAGCAGGTTGCAGAACTCGGCAGGACAGACTCATTCACATCGGTCTCCACTCCTCTGCCTTCAGCTGCTGGCTCAGAAGGCTGGGCTAGGAAAGACTCTGCCGCCATCTCTCTGTGCCGTTATCTTCCTTTCTAACGTGATGCTCAAATCATTACACTCTCAGCCTTTGTCCACGCTCCAGCTTAAAAGTCGCACGCTGGCAGTGACTGGGTTTTGGAGAACGTGTGTGGGAGGAAAAACATGACTAGCATCTTCCCAGCAGCCGTGCTGTGTGCCATACACCACAACACCCCTGGCTGGGCGGAGGAAGAAACTGAGGGTCAAGGAGGCCAAGTGACTGGCCCAACGTGCACAGAACTGAGGGGGGATGGAGCCAGGATTGAAACCCCTCGCTCATTCCAAAACCCGACTTCTGTTTTCACAATTCCTGAAGAATTTGTAAGTGCCGCCCATTTCTTGGTAATCCCCAAGGGCTACAAAATATTTTTGTTCTGTTTTCTAAAACACAGCATTAACTCCCGGGCTGTTTCACATTTAATTCTCCTTCCAGATGAAACAACTTTTCCTCTATTAAGAGTGGTGAATACATTCAGGGGGTTGGCTTTGACAAATACTCAGTTTCATCCATCATTCGTGATGGAGTTAAAAGAGAAATTTTTGAGGGTTCTAGTACCTCAACTCATTATAAACAAGAGTTACAATAATCTAGGAACAACTGCTAATGTAAAACTCTGAAACGGGGGAAAATGAAGATATTAATGGAAAAAATCAATTTTGAAGAAATCTGTAATTTCTATAAAAGTCAATCATTAGGAGAAAATACTTTATACTTCAAATTGTATATATTGTAAAAGGGGAAGGAGAGAAAAAAAAGGGATATTACTCATCAAATCAGGTCAGTGATCAGAGGAGAAAACTTACCTTCAACTACACCCATTTCTACTATCACCAGCTGTTACAGAAAATAACCTGGCTGCAAGTGGTTTTTACAGGCTGTCAAAAAACACTGCCTATTTTAAATCAGAAAAAAAGTATATCCCCTGAAGCAAGCTTGATGTGCCTATAAAACATAAATGCTACTATATATAAAAATAGATTTTAAAAAAGTTTTTTTCTGTATAGCACAGAGAACTATATTCACTACCTTGCAATAACCTTCAATGAAAAAGAATATGAAAACGGACATATGTATGTATCTGCATGACTGGGACACTGTGCTGCACACCAGAAACTGACACACTGTAACTAACTGTACTTCTATATATGTATAATATGGAAAATATTTAAAAAGTGAATAGAATGGATAATCCAAGTCACTCTTACTAAAGTAAAACCCAGTGTAGGTCATTCTATTTTGTGTGACCATGCTTTTTCACTTTCAAAGTCAATTCTATTATTCTGCAGTTCACAAGTAATAAATATAAATTCCAACTTTAGGAAAAAAAAATATACACTCAATTCAAGAATATTTTCAGAGTTTGATGCCCACAAATAGGGGAAGAATTAAGTAAATTACAGTCCATCAACTCAACGGTCTATAATACCATTTCAATAGGGGACAAAAGGATGCAAGTTTTATGTTTTCTTTTATTCTAACTAACATACAATATTTATTTAAAGGGACAAAGACCATAAGAGAATATGTATAATGAGATTAGTTTCATCCTGGTATTGGGACTATGGTGGTCTTTCCTTCTATAAAAAAAAAAATATAACACTATTCTATTCATGGTGATTGCTTTGTTTTTTTAATGAGTGAGGTCTCTATATCATAATTACAGAGTCATAGAATAGTTACCTATTTTGGGGGGAGTGTCTTTGTCTTGTTTTGATATGAGGGTGATGGTGGCTTCATAGAATGACTTTGGGAGTGTTCGAGAAGGGTCAGACTAAGCTCACCTTCGTGTGTTTGGTAGAAGTCTGCAGTGAAGCCATCTGGCCCTGGACTTCTGCTTGCAGGGAATTTTTTTTTATTACAGATTCCATTTCACTTCTAGTGATTGGTCTGTCCAAATGATCCATTTCTTCTTGACTCCATTTTGGTGGACTGTATGTTTCTAGAAACTTGTCCATTTCTTCTAGGTGGTCCAGTTCGTTGGCATGTGATTATTCACAGTATTCCCTTTTTTTTTTCGTGTATCTGTGGAATCAGCTGTAATTTCTCCTCTTTCGTTTCCGATTTTGTTTATTTGCTCCTCTCTCTTTTCTTCTTGCTGAGCCTGGCCAGCAGTTTGTTGATTTTGTTTGCCCTTCCAAAAAAACAGCTCTTGGTTTTATTGATTTTCTCCATTTTTTTTTTCATGGGGGGAGGTAATTGGGTTTACTTATTTATTTCTTTTTAATGGAGGACTGGGAATTGAACCCAGGACTTCCAGCACGCTAGGCGCGGGCTCCACCACTAAGCTCTACCCTCCCCACTCTCTATTGCTTTTTTAATCTCTGTTTATTTATTTCCTCTCTGACCTTTATCCTTTCCTTCTGCTGACTTTAGGTTTTTGTTTGTTGTTGTTCTTCTAATTCTTTTAGGTGGTGGGTTAGGTTGTTTGAGATTTTGCTTGTTTGTTTTTTGAAGAAAGTTTCATTGTGTATCACCTGTATCACCACGAACTTCCCTCTTA